AACGAAAATGAAAATTTGCTTGATAATTCAACTACGCTTGTTGGAGAACAATAAAAACACTACACTCAACAAGCCACCAATAAAACTCAACTGCCTAACCTATAACCAAAGTCTCCTTTTAATTTGTTTTTTAAAAAAAGCGCTTGACAAACTTGCCCCGCATGCCGAAGTTGCCCCGATCTCCCCTAATATTGCACTGTATGTTATAATGGAAAGTCATTACAGAAATGAATGTTTTCTAGATATAAAATATATTTAACAATTAATATTAGGTATAGTATTATCGAAAACGTGCAAGTATACAGTGATTTTATTGGCTAAAACATTTTGTTATATTTTCTGTCTATTTACTGTTTATTTTTGTGACAGTTTTGGTGTATGATTCATACACGAAAACTTCATAGTCTTCACTTGAAACTTTATTAAAAAGACATTTGTATACTTCTTCATAATATTTTCCATGGCATTTAAAACAGGGAAAAGTAGTAATGTTATTTTGCTTTAAAAGTAAAATTCAAAATTGTTATAGATATTTCTCAAAATTTAATATGTACTAACCTGCTCCAATGATTCCCCATCCAACCATCGTTGCCATTCCTGAATAGTATTCTTTATTGGTACGTGGTAGAGCGATTGTTTGTACATGCGGAGGAAGAGAACCGCTCGATAAAGAAACGGCGCTATCTAGTATTAAAAGTGCTATGTCATAAAGGAATAGCGCGCCTTTATAGTACGGATGTGGAATTAATTCTTTGAAATACACTTTCTGTCCAAGGAATTTATCTTTGTCACCAATTGACCCATATATTTCATCGGGTTCCTTACTATGATATACAGATAAGATATAAATATATGAAAACTTGATTTAAATATATAATAATATTATACCGAAATATATTATAGTATAAATAATTACATTATTACTTTTATAAATATTATACAAATTTTAAATTATTTTCATTCATCGTAATTAATTAGAAAATACATACTTTGCTATTGGGTGAGCAGCACCCAATGCAGTTTTGGTTGTTATCAATGAGTAACTTGCAAGAAAAGTTTCTTCATCTTCAACATCTATATCATTTACTTCTAAAAACAGGGCAATCTAGAAACAAAATATTCTTTATTTTGGTTTCTACAACTAAGTTATAAAATCAGATAAATAATATTTAGTTCACCATAAATGGATAATCCTTAATTTCAACATCCTTACCACCAATCATCCTTCGTACAATTCCTACAAATGCCACGAAATCATCAGAATTAATAAACATTTCTGAACAAAAAATAATATCGTTAATTAACTCACCCCGTTTATTTTCATTTTTCTCCGCATTTGCACTGCAACAGAGAATCGTAGAGAATATAAAGATCTTCAAAGCTTGATTTAAAACTCTATAAAAGATAATTGACAATAAATATATGTAAGTAAAGTAATTTCAATAATTTATATTGACTTAATGAATAGATAAATATGTTTCCACAAGCCTTACTTGAGATGAGTATTCATATTGCTATTGATACCAACTGACAAAAAGTACGAAGAATATGAATGATAATCTTAAATTACACTAGAATTACTTTTATACAGTGTAATGCTGAAATTAGAATTTTAAGTAAATATTTCATGATTTAAATTGTATTTTAGAATTTATTTCCTGTATCAGAATGACTTTCAAAAATGTTTTTAAAACATGACTGTAAAAAAATATTTGAAAATCATCTGTAAAATTCCTGTTTAATATAATAACACTTTACAGTTAAAGTAAATTGTAATATTTTTATTTTTAGCGATGTTATTGCTTAAATCATTTATTTTTTACCCAATTTTCGCAGCTGTGTAGAGTTTTTATATTAAGTTTTCTAAATATTTACTGTTGGCATTAATACATCTACGTAATTACACAATTATTACGTCAAATTTATTACATAAGTTTTATGATAGTAACTGTAGTGAAATTTTGTAAATGCTTATTATTAAAAAATTAATAACCATTATTTTAAAAACACCAAAAAAAAAAATAATAGTCGAACATTTTCTATAAATAGGTTCAGATTTTTCTCTGACACGAACACCATCGTGGAGATAAACCAGTAAGTCCTAGTTACGATGCGAGATATAAAGTAGGGGTAAAGGTAAAATCAACCAAGTCAATCATTTATTACATAAAATAAGTTTTTGGTTTTCTATTTTCAACGGTAGATCGTTTCTCTGTCAACACGAATTTTGGGCCATTTCGCTTAGAAGACACTGACTAGAAAAGTCAGTGTCTCTGTTTTGTTGCTAACAGTAACTTGAAATTCACAGTTATTGCATTGTGAGTGATATGGATTGATTTGTGTTAGAATAAGATTTCGAAAGTGATAAAAATACTTGGGCTGTTGCAAACAATATGATGAAGGAAGTAGAGAAACTAAGAAAAATTGAGTTGGAAGAATTAATTCATTGATAGTCAGCATTTAGTTTCAATGAAAGCAACTGAATGCTGGTTATGTTCGAGACGTTTGACGATTCCATTTGTAAAAAGTACGAATACTTTACGAAAGAGAGTTTGGAAGAAAGAAGCTAACTATATATACAGTACGTGAAACAGTAAACAGGGATAAAACGTAAGTACTGTATAAAAGTTTTGCTTTTATTTGTACAGATGGATAAACTTCATAATCATGTTGGTTCTTCTGTAACCATTCACGACGGTATGATAACATACCAACTACCAATGGCTGACTCGGTATTTTGTGCAAAACTGCTGAGCACTAAAACATATTGTAAACGAACGAACACTGTCGCAGTGTTCTTTGTTTGCAATACTTTCAAACTCAATGAGAACGATCAGATCTTTAAACTCCCTTTAGTTTTCACAGCACTGACATGCACAAGATCCGGCGTATTTTATACAATCTTTCAACAAGAAGCTGCCATGTCATATTTTCTTTGGATCCAGGAAAGTAGGCATAAAGGGAAACCAGATGATTGGCATAGCAGTAAAGTCAGCCACCGCATTCCGTCTTGTATCACACTGGTTTAAAACCCAAAATGAAGGCCGAACTGTAAAAATTATGGCAACGTTCTTGGAATAATTAACTATTTTCAAGTTGCAGGAAATTAAGTAATAAAAGTTGTGGGATCGATCCTCCCAAGCACAGACGGCAGGAAGCGTCCTGGTATGATTGCGCATAAGAAACAATCGCTTCATCCAGCGTTATTACTTCATGGATGAGGATTCACCCGAATGCCCTTCGTGCCACTGACATTTAGTGTATTTTTCCTGCGTATCTGGGATGACTAGGTTAATGCAGTAATAACATTCAAATTTCGATAATAAAAATTTATGGAAAAGCTTGCTCTTGTTTACGAAATTTAATTTACGAGAAACTTCAAGAATAGGACGGTCATGAATCGAGGTTATAGTGTACTTCGTTTATTTTCATCAGGATTGAGTGTTAATTTTTCCAATTAAAAATGATTGAAGAGTAAAGAGACATAGTAAAAAAATACGTTTTTACATTTCATGATGTCCAATTACCAGGAAAATTCTTCCATTGAAGAGATGAACTTTATTAGAGTCTGCCTATGCCTCTTGAAAGAGTGCTTGTTCTTGGTGATGGGACTTGATGAAATGTGAAGACAATGTGGTATTGTTTTACTAATTTTTAAAAAAAATCCTTTACTGTATTTTTAAAATTTTGATTATTGCTTGATAATTGTTCAGGGAAACGAAACGATTTGGTCACTGGTGATTTGTAATGTAATAACATACAATATTAATTGGGGCAAAGTTATAAAAAACGATAACGAAACATTTTAAAGGCAAACATACAGGGAAAACCCATTATTCCGGCTCCTGATAATTCGGAATTTTTCTCGTAATAAAAATGCACGCTCGTATTACTACAAATTGAAGTTTCTTCTTCTGTTAAGTTATGGCAAACGCAACACTCGGGCGATCTGCCCAGGAGAATGCTTTCCGGGAGGACTTTTTAGGGAAACTGGCATTACAGACTGGAGAAAACCCGGTAAATATTACGTGGTCAGCCCGTCCGTATTACAAAAAACTACAATAAGATATCGTATTACTTTGTAAAACTGATACTAACAAACTGTTTCATTCACAATTGATCATAAAATGCTGATCTGCTAACCAATTAAGTTTCGCGAAACCTGGACCAAATATTTAAACTTGGCACTGTCGAAGTCGAAAACTTCTTAATAAATCATATTTTGTAAAAACTGGTAATGTTGTATTATGTAATTTTCCTATTCGAATGCAACCATACCGGTGGGACCAGCCAATTAGGAATATGTTCCAGAAGAAGGTTGAAGATAATTCGAGGAAAAGTATTCATTAACTTTCAATGTTGTGTCAAACATTTTATATTTCTCTAAACTCGACTTCTGATATATCTAACAATTTCAATAAATTCCAAATATTTTATTAAGTTAATATTCATATTTTAATGAAACATTAACTCTAAAATAATTACCTACACAGCAGAAAATACAGAAATTTCATTAAAAATAGCCGATATTTTTATTAAATAAATCCTATAACATTATATGCAATTCAAAAGATACGGATACTTACATTACAGTATTTAATATATTTAATACAATACAGAAAAATTAAATACAGTGGAACCTCGGTATACGACCTTAATCCGTTCCTGATTGTTGGACTTATACCGAATAGGACGTATACCGAATCAACCTTTTCCATAAGAAGTAATGTAAAAATGACTAATTCGTTCTAATGTAAAAAAAAATGGCTGGCTTTAAACACCTCGCTTTCCTGGCTAGTTCCTGCTTGATTTTTCATGAGATCAGCATGTATTTTTGTAGCTTTCTCGCAAATAATTGCTTCCGATACGGTGTCTCTAGCACACTGTTTTTCAGTTATCCAAAGCAAAAGCAATTTCTCAACATGATTTAATGTCTTCGATCTCTGTTTAGAAATTGATTTAACCCTTTTCGCAACGTTAGCAGATTTAATAATGTCTTTATTTTTCACGATTGTCAATATCGTCGTTCTCGGAATATGGTATGCAACAGTTAAAATCTCGAACACGCATGCCACCTTTATGTTCCTCAACAATCTCTTTTTTCAGTTGTGATTCTAGTCATTTTTTTAGTTTTCTGTTGCTTTTCATTTCCCTTCTTGCAATTCATGATTAATAATAAAATTTTACTTACAAATTAAAATCAAAAGAAATCTAACAAAGTTATAAACTGTGGCACCGCGAACGTCTAGTCTGGTCTAGTACACCGACAGTTGTTCATAGATGGCGCGTTTAATTAAGTCGTATTCCGAACAAAAGTCGTATACCGAGCAAAATTTGTTTTGTCCAAACAGGACGTATTCCGAATTTGACGTATTCTAAAGCAGACGTATACCGAGGTTCCACTGTATTACTTATATTACAAGAAATCTTAAATAAAAAAGTAAATAATTTTATTAAATCGTGGGAAGGCATGAAAGGCAAATTTCTATCAGACAAACATCTTTCCACTTCCGCTGAGTCAAAAGATGTTAAAGTACCTGCCCCAGTGAGCGGCTGTTAGAATATGTCCGTATTAGGGTCGGGTGGCCTGCCTATCGAGTATAAAAAGAAGGTAGCACATTATTCGCGGCTGCAATCTAGTCATTCAGAACAGCCATGGTTTCCATCGTACACGTCTGTGTGAGAAGATACTCGATTTCCCTACCTAATGCTAGAACTCAGGTCCAGCTTCCGAAGCTCTCAACCCCACGTAATATTTTGATGTAAACTCTCTCGTGTTAGCTAGAGAAACTAGCATCGACACTTTGTATAGAGTTAAGTAGTAGTGTAGCTTTGAGTCATTGTAACCCCATCGCTCGATATTTTGTCGTGCTCTATTTAATATGTGTATACAGTTGACCCCCCCTATAACACGGTAGATACGTTCCTGTTTTTATAAATCCAGCTTTTAGGAGTCCAGCCAATCACAGCCCGTGATTGGCTGGACTACGGCTGTTTGAAAGGTTTCTTCCATAAAATTAATTGATTCTAGCAGGGCTGTGGAGTCGCGTAAAAATCTACCGACTCCGATTCCGATTCCGACTTTTCCTTATCATCTGACTCCGACTCCGACCAGGGGCGGACTTGTTACCGAAAGAGACCCGGAATTTCTGATGTCATCACGTGACCTCAGAATCAAATATTCAATAAATAGAGTTCTGATAAAGATAGAACGTATATTCCAAAGCTATAAGACTCCTCTAAGCACAGGCGGCCTCAGGGGGTGGCGAGCAGAGCAATCGCCCGGGGCCTCGCGCAACAACCCGAGTAGAAAAAAGTTGATATTTAAAAGTTTTTATTTTATCCTTAGCTATACACAATAGCTAAAAATAAAATGAGCTTATTAGTTATAACAATAAAATAAATTTGATTGATTTATAGTACAGTATATATTATTATTATTAATAAATGCCTAATTAAAATTTTTCATTTAGATTTATTCAATCTCACATTCGTATAAAAAGTAAGATATCGAACTTAACGATATCGAAATTAATTAATTAATTAATCAGTGAATAATATTTTT